GGCCTAGGCCTAAAGCCTCAGTCTGTGGCTTGGAGCCGACATATGCAAATTAGCCACCATCTTGGTTGTCAGTTAATTTGCATATACTCACTGATTAGCCAATGAAAAGGGTAGTGGTCGTACGCCAATTACCATGTTTCTCTTTTATTAGTGTAGATGTTGGTAGGCCAAAAAAATTTATCATCTTGTTTAGTTTACGCTTCTTTCATGACTACTGCAGTTGAGGTAGTTTTTAATTATACTGAAAGCGTCTTCCTTTGTATCTTTGTTTTATACAAATCTATTATGAGTTTTGTGAGTATTTTTATATTAGCGTTCAGTTAACTAGCTTGAGTGTTGCACTCAGGGGACAATTTTCAGTGATTCAACATTAATCTAAAGGGATATTTAAAGTGATTTTCAAGGCCACTGGCCCTGATGCCTGTTTTAATTCCATGTCTTAAACAGAGGAATCAGTTCATTAATATTTAAGCAGATACAAAAGGTCATCCATGAAATACGGCTTTCTTGGATGGAAGAAATAAAGTCCAGTGTGGCCTTGATAAACTGGGGAACAAGACCTCGAAACTGTGATGAGCCCTGGCCAGTGTGGCTTCGTTGGTTGGGAGTTTTCCTGTGGACAGAGCGGTTGTAGGCTCCATTCCTGGTCAGAGCACTTGCCTGGGTTTCAGGTTTGATCCCGGTGGAGGTGCATACAGTGCGTCCGGTGTGTCCAGGAGGCAACCGATGGATGGGTGGTTCTCCCTCCCTCTCTCTATAAAATAAATGAAAGCTTGTCCTGGACTAAAAAAACAAAACAAACAAACAAACAAAAAACCTGATGAAATAAATATAAGAGAGAGAAAATGCAACATGATCGATTTAGAGAACAAAAGCCAGTACCATAGTGAGATTCAAAGGGAAAAAGAAAAGAATCCAAGTTGTCAAGAGACCTGGAGCTTCATCATAGTGACCCCTAGAGGCCTCTGAGCCACCGATCACATCGCTGGGGAGAATGCGACTTAAGTGCTGTGATGAATGATGTTACTTCCGTCAAGAACCTTATTTTACATGGTGCATCAGTTAGTCTCTAGTTCAGCGGTTCTCAACCTGTGGGTCGCGACCCCTTTGGCGGTCAAACGACCCTTTCACAGGGGTCGCCTAAGACCATCCTGCATATCCGATATTTACATTACGATTCATAACAGTAGCAACATTACAGTTATGAAGTGGCAATGAAAATAATTTTATGGTTGGGTCACAACATGAGGAACTGTATTTAAAGGGCCAGAAGGTTGAGAACCACTGCTTTAGTTAGTGGATCTTGTTTAGTTTCAACAACTCATTCAGCATATATTAGTTGTGTAACTACTCTGTTGATTTTGTATAACGACTGTTAAAACTGTGGCGAATCCAGAGTTTTCACAAGAGAAGAAAAATATTAATAGGAAAGGTTGCAAATAAGGAATAATTATTGATGGTTGTTTAGCCCCAAGGAAAGAAGGCTAAATTAGGGCAACTAAGACATATGTATGTGTGTGTTTTTCCTGAGGGAGATACTTCCCAGGTGATCCTCACTTAGTAGATAAAACAGAAATGGGCTTAAGGTTTAAGGAAATTAGGGTGAGAGAAAAAAAGGCAACAACAGCAGTTCCTCTCTAAGGAGGCCAAAATGTGTTCTTGAAGAGGATTGTGAACCCACCTTTTCTAGACTTCCTAGGCACCTGCCAGAGGGCTGAGGCAATCAGATAGCCTCCTAGATCCCTCCTAGTGTTAGACCCCTAGAACCCTCGTAGTCCCATTATAATAACAGGTTGATCACAGATACTATCTACTGGGAGCTGGATTGTGTGGAAAGCTTAGAGGAGTGCAAGACATATAGTGAGACTTTTAGAGATTGCCTTGGGGAGAAAAAAGTACCTTCCATGGGACAGGTTTTTTGCATTCATTATGTCATTTCATCTTAGCCTCCTGTTGCAGAGGCTGGGTGTGCAGAGCCTAGAGGCCAGTCACCCAGAATTCCAATCCCTGCCTGCAGAACTCTGAAGCTTGACCTTGGCTCTCACATTTCACCCAATCTGGTGATTCAAGCACAGCTTTAAAGAGATTGGCTGTGACCAGAGGGGCAGATGAACTGGGAGAGGTAATGTTACTGCTGTCAATTTGCTCTTCTCAGTGTCTGAAGACAAGTCTTAGGGCTGGCCTGACCAGGAGGTGTCTTGAAAGACTGGCTTTGACTACATATGAGCCTGAGTTTTACAGCTTTACAATGTGCCAAATTTAGCTTCAAAGCTTAGAGAAAGTATCCTCTACTCTCCAAGCTCTTGTTTCCTCATCTGTAAGAGGAGGGCAATGGGCCCTTGGATCTTGTAGGGCCCCTATCTGATACCCTGTATCTGGGATGGGGAGCATGATTTTCCCGAGGACTTACAGAAGATGTAGTTTCCAATGATGGCCACCAGAAGGACTGCAGCTTCACAGGGCTGGCGTGTCACCGAAGGAAGGAAGTTCACAGCCCATCACTGCACGAGGAGACTAGAGGACTGGGAGTGGCCCACCTTACCTGGAGAGGAGACCCATTCCCCCCTCCCTCCTCCTCACCCCTGTTGCTGCCCTCCTCTCCTCTCCCTTTCTTTTCTCACCGTATCTCTGGCTCTCTCCTTTTCCTCATCCACCTCACTTCTTTTTTTCTCTTCTTCAATTGCCAATTTACTCCTTTATTCCCCTCCAAAATGACAGCTAAGGCTTCTGCTCCTTACTCAGTGTTTCAAGTCCCTGGAAGCCTGGTCTCCCTGCCTTGGACACCTGAGTGAGACAGGCATTCTTCCCTGTCCACCAGGCTTGTTCTCTGTCATGGCAACTGTGTTCCTTTCTCCTGAAGTGTTCTGAGCTCTTAGTCCAGGATGACCTGCTCTCTTCTTTTCTGGTGGTTCCAGCACATTTACTAGCCAGTTAAAATGATATATATCTCTATCTCTATCTCTATCTCTGTCTCTGTCTCTGTCTCTGTCTCTGTATATATCTGTATCTCTCCCTTCTTCCTTCCTTCCCTTCCTCTCTCTCCCCTCTCCCTCTTCTAAAATTTTCAAATTTACAGAAAACTTACAAGAATAATTCCTATATACCTTTCACTTAGGTTCCCCTGTTGTTAACATTGCTTTATTCTGTATATGTATATGTAGACATATAGACATAGAATTTTTCTAAACAATTTGACAGTAAGTTGCAGACATGATATTCCTTTACCCATAAATACTTAAGTGTATATATTTTTTCAATACTTACCTGAAGACATGTTCTTTGATTTTTAGAGTGAGAAATATTGATGTGAGAGAGAAGCATCGATCAGTGTCCTTCCATATGTGTCCCACTGGGAATAACCCTCAACCTAGGTTTGTGCCCTGACTGGATTTTCCCCAGGACTTACAGAAGATGTAGAGGCCCTTGGCCTCTCGCTAGCTCTCCTTGCATCTTTTTCATCTCCTAGTCAAGGCCTGGGTTATAGAATAAGAGCACAGTTTAGGAACAATGGTCATAATCTGTGGGTCTCATCTGTTCCTGTGATCAGAGGGTCCTTACACCTCATGCAGGGAACCTTTTCTAATGGGGTGTTCTTGGTGAAATCCCCAGATGAGGAAAAACAAACAAATTATAAAAACAATAGAGAAGATATCCATCAAACTGTTAATAAGGGCTATATCTCTGAGTGGTGTAATCATATAAACTTTCTACTTTATACATTTCTATATTCATGGAATTTGTGTGTCAGATTTATGACATTTTTATTATCATGAAGGAAATGAGGACCAGCCTGGCCTCTGTTTCCCCTGCAGTCTTCCCCTTCCCCTTACCCAGCTATATTTCCCAGTCTTTTCTGATATAACCAATAGTGCGACCTCCCACTGTCCTCCCGAGGGTCTTATGGTTCTTTATATCATCTGCTCAGCAAATACTGAACAAATCAATGAATAATAACACCAGTGAATGAATTTTCCATCTCTGTCCTTAGATTATGGTTTCCCAGACTTGACTGAGAAGGCAGGTCCTATAGAAGACAGCCAGGGCCAAGAGGCGTCGAGCCTCCCCCCTCCCTTGCCTAAGATGAACCTGGTAGAGCCACCTTGGCATATGGCTCCTGGAGAGGAGGAAGAGGAGGAGGATGAGGAGAAAGAGGAGGAGAAAGAGGATATAGAGAAAGAAGAAGAGGAGGAGGAGAAGGAAGAACTGCTGCCTGTGAACAGAGCCCAAGAAGAAGCCCAAACTCAGGTCCACGACTTTTCTACCACCAGCAGCAGCCAGACTCCCCTGGCCCCCAAACACAAGCATGAAGATTCTGGGGACCAGGCCTCCTCAGGTGTGGAGGTAGGGAGCAGCATGGAGCCAAGCCTGTCACCACCCTCAGTCACCCCAAGTACAGTGACCCTAGGGGGTCAGGACTTCACCAACCAGGAGGCAGGGGACACAACGCTGCCAGCTGCAGGGCATGAGGTAGATTTTGAGGCTCCGCAGGAGGCAACTGAGGAGGCTACCATGGGAATAACTGTGTTGGCTGGCAAGCAAGGGGAGGTGCTGTCCTTGGCCTCATTCCCTCAAGCAGAAGCCCCAAGTGGGGCTGAGACCCCAGATGAAGACCCCCTTTACCCTGGAGCCTCAGCCACTGTCCCCCTGCCCTCCCAAGACATGGAACTGACACCGTCCTCTGCTACCTTGGGACAAGAAGACCTCAGCCAGCAGCCCCAGGAAAGGCAGGCTGCCGAAGCTCAATCCAGAATCCCCTGGGATTCTACGCAGGTAACGTGGAGGCACATGCAGGCCTCTGGCTACTCTGGGGCTGCACTGCGGTGGGAGGTCTGCCAGGCTGAGCATGGAGGGCCTTGACACCAGGCAGAGTCTCAGCAGAACTGCTGGGGGTGCACACCTCATGGCTCAACCCTGGGTGTCCGCACCACACTTAAGTGCAAAGTGGAAGCTTTGGAAGAGTCTGCTGCCTTGGCCTGGTTTTTATTTGTTCAGGTGCTACTGCTGCTACTCTTGGCTTCCACACTGCTTATGACAGTGGCGAGAGTTTGTGCTTGACCTGCATTCTCTCCAGCCGTTTCCACACCCACCATCACATGCACAGTCACCCTCTGCTCCTCCCCTCATCATCCCTGCCCTGCGCACACACCCTCCAACACCAGAAGGAAAGGAAAGGTCCTGAGTTTTTAGCCTATGCATCTGGCCTACAGAGCATTAAAAACAAAGTTTGTTCCTAGCTGGGGCAAGCTCTCTGTAGTCTGGCCCCTTGGGCACAGATTCCTCTTCCTTTGTGTCACTCCTGGCCTCCTCCTCTTACTTGCTCCCTGAAGACATATGGGTTTGTGAACGTGGGTTGGATCCTGGGCATGTCACCTTGCAGAGGCTGTCAGCTCCCACCTAGCTATCACAGACCTATACCTGGCCTTCGCCTCCCAGCTTCTCAGAGTTTCTACCCAGGCTCTCTCTGGATGCCTTTCCTTATACCTTTGTAACTGTTACTCTTCTTTCTGTTTCATTGTACAGGTGGTCTGCAAAGACTGGAGCAATCTGGCTGGGAAAAATTACATCATTCTGAACATGACAGAGAACATAGACTGTGTGAGTGCTGAGCTAGGCTGAGGACCGCAGGCTGAGATTGGAGGCAGGCGGGCAGAGTGGAGGCAGTGGGCAGGCACTGGGGAATGGGCAGTGGATGGGGTAGAAGGCTTAGCTCTTAAGTCAGAGCGGGGCTAGCTTCACCCAGGGGATGAACCAACATCCAAGAAAACAGTGCTTTCATGTTTTCAAATTTCTAAAGGCTCTTTTGTTCTTGCCCCCTCCGATTTTAATTTAAAGGAATAGTTTTGCTCATGCATGCAATATCTTATCTCTCTGAGGATATGGAAATCATTTTTTAAAATATTTTCTTCCTGTATAGGTTGCTTTCCTGATTTCTTTGTTTTTTTTAAATATACTTTATTGATTTTTTACAGAGAGGAAGGGAGATGGATAGAGAGTTAGAAACATCGATCAGCTGCCTCCTGCACAACCCCCAATGGGGATGTGCCCGCAATCAAGGTACATGCCCTTGGCCGGAATCGAACCTGGGACCCCTCAGTCCGCAGGCCGACGCTCTATCCACTGAGCCAAACCAGTCAGGGCTGATTTCTTTGTTTCAGTCTCAGTTTTCCACATGTGTACTCTCTTCAAATGTCTGGCGGTGTTTGCCACCAGGAAGCTGGCTGGAAGCTTTGGGCGTGGTGGTGGAGTTTCTTAACTATGGCTTCTCAGGAGGGTGGTCTGACCGGGTCATTTCTTTTGAAAATTTCTAATCCCAACATCATTAGATCCTTCCTCCTAGGTGATTAGATCCTTTGAAAAGGGGAATTCTTTTCTACTGGGAGTATAAGGGGCTGGTTGCCAGTGTTCTGGGAACCAGGGTGGGGAGAAGGCTGGGCGTCTCAGTATTAGAAACATATGTGCATGCATGTATTTTACTCCCTTGTTTACAATGTGAGCCCCCTTTCATAGTTGTGCCTGGTGTCTCCTGAGCCCTCTCTCCTTGGCTTGTAGATGACTGTCTTCTCCCAGTGTCCTCACATGGTGCTCCCCCTGTTCATATCTGTGTCCTCATCTTCTCCTCTTGTAAGAACACCAGTCGTTGGCTTAGGGCCTTCCCTAATGACCTCATTTTAACTTAGTTACCTCTTTAAAGGACCTGTCTCCAAATGCAGCCACATTAGGACATACTGGAAGTTAGGACTTCAACATATGAATTTGAGGGTGACACCGCTAGTCCTTAGCAATACTCTTGCATTTTTTCCCCTTTAACAATATAGTCTGGAAACCACTTTATGACCATTATAGAGATCATTCTTTTTAAAAAATATTTATTATTTTTTTAAATTATATTTTTATTGATTTCAGAGAGGAAGGGAGAAGGGAGAGAGAGATAGAAATATCAGTGATGAGAATCAATGATGAGAATCATTGATCAGTTGCCTTCTGCACGCCCCCTCCTGGGGATTGAGCCCACAACCTGGGCATGTGCCCTTCACTGGAATCGAACTCGGGACCTTTCTGCCCACAGGCCGAGGCTCTATCCACTGAGCCAAACCAGCTAGGGCAAAGTCTTTATTATTGAGAGTATTACAGATGTTTCCCCCCTTTTTTCCCCTTGCCCCCCACTTCCTGGTTCCTGCCCCACTATCTGTGTCCATGGGCAATGCATATATGCATATAAGTTCTTTGATTAAACTCTTCCAGCTTCTCCTTCTCCTTTCCCTCTGAGATTCACCAGTCTGTTCCATGATTTCAAGCCTCTGGTCCTATTTTATTGTGTTCATTAGATTCCACATATAAGTGAGATCATGTGATATTTGTATTTCTCTGTCTGGTTTATTTCACTTAGCAAAATCATCTCTAGGTTCCTCCATGCTGTCTCAAAGAGTAGTAGATCCTTCTTTTTTACAGCTGCATAGTATTTCATTGTGTAAATGTACCACATCTTTCTTTATCCATTCATCTAATGATAGGCACTTGGGCTGTTTCCAGATCTTAGCTATTGTAAATAGCATTGCTATGAACATAGGGGTGCATATGTTCTTCCTGATTGGTGTTTTGGGATTCTTAGGAATATATCCTAAGTGGGATCACTGGGTCAAATGGCAGTTCCATTTTTAATTTTTTGAGGAGACTCCACACTTGTTTTCCATAGTGGCTGCTCCAGTCTGCATTTCCACCAGCAGTGGACTAGGGTTGCTTTTTCTCCACATCCTCGCCAGCACTTATTGTTTATAGAGATCATTCTTAATCATTTTTTACAACTGAATAATAACTCCATTATGTTTGTATACCATGGTTTATTCATCAAATTTCCTTTGTATGGGCAATATTCTGCAATTACTTCCAATGTTGCAGTGAATAATGTGTGTGTGTGTGTGTGTGTGTGTGTGTGTGTGTGTGTGTGTGTATTTTTTGCATGGTTGGAATGTGTATTCAGAATAAATTCTTAGAAATGAGATTCCATATGCAGTTTGTTAGATATTGCCAAATTCCCATTTCTCTCTCATTCTTCTTAGAGGTTTAGGGCCTTATTTTCCTATCTACCTTGTTTTTTATTATTTTTTTAATAATTTTTTTTTATTTCAGAGAAGAAGGGAGAGGGAGCGAGAGATAGAAACATCAATGATGAAAGAGAATCATTGATTGGCTGGCTGCCTCCTGCACGCCCCCTACTGGAGATCGAGCCTGCAACCCAGGCATGTGCCCTTCACTGGAATCAAACCCGGGACCCTTCAGTCTGCAAGCTGACACTCTATCCACTGAGCCAAGTGTCTTTTATTACACTTTTATGTTTTCTATGTCTTTAAAATCTCTCTGATGCATTCTGGGTGATTTTCTAGCTCTAGCTTTCAAATTAGTAGCTCTCCTCAGTTGTATCTAACCTTCTGTTTGATCTACCCATTGAGTCATTAATATAGATAACTATTTTATATTTTTAGAATTTCTATTTGATTCCAAATCTCTTTCTTTTTTAAATTTTGTTCTCTTCTTTCATTATGGTTTCTATTCCTTTACTTCTTTAATTATTTTAAACATACTTATTTTATTATCTCTTTTATATTTAGTGACACCACATCTTGACCTGTCAGTTCTCCTGTTTGTTGCATTTATACCTTATTCCCTCATATGGATCATAATTTATTGTGATCTCATCTTAAACCCCAGGCTGTGAAAGAACTTCTACAGGGTGATTTCAGGGAACTTTCAGGAGTTCTAATAGTCTTAGAATAATTTTAAATTTATTTCTTGGCTTAGATTTCTATACCACAAAAGACTACAAGTTGAGACTCCACTCCCAGGTGAAGTGCAAGCCTGGGTTTTTAAGTGATTTTACGTAACATTATTTCTCCTACCCATGGACACAGGCATACCCCTTATAGCTCCTCCAGGTGAGTGGAAAATTTTTTGAGTCCCCATTTTACTGAAAGGGCTGGTCTTTGAGGCTCTGTCCTGGTACTCTGCTCTAGTTCCCCACCCTGCCGGGGCCAGGAGCACATTTCCTGTCTCCATGTGAGCATTGAAAGTCAGGTCTCCTGCCCTAACCGGTTTGGCTCAGTGGATAGAGCGTCGGCCTGCGGACTCAAGGGTCCCAGGTTCGATTCCAGTCAAGGGCATGTACCTTAGTTGCGGGCACATCCCCAGTGGGGAGTGTGCAGGAGGAAGCTGATCGATGTTTCTCTCTCATCGATGTTTCTAACTCTCTATCCCTCTCCCTTCCTCTCTGTAAAAAATCAATAAAATATATTTAAAAAAAAAAAAAAGAAAGAAAGTCAGGTCTCCAACTGCTGGATCCAATATCTGGGTCCTAGAATTACTGTGGCTTTAGTGTCAGCTTACTCTTCTGGCTTCAAGTTCCGTTTGCTTTTGCCTCCTTTGAGCTTGAAGTTGGGCATGCTTTTAGAACATCTTCATTGTTTTGTTGTATTTTGTCCAGTATTTCTATGTTTGTAGCAAGGTGGGAGAGCAGAGCTTTCATCAGTTCTGTCTGTCATCTTGCCAAAAGTCAAAATGTTCTGATGAATAATGAGATGTCCCTTCCTGTTTGTCATAAGAACCATACCAGTGAAGCTGGAGCCCCTACAGTGGGAGAAACTGTGTGATTTGTGAGGGTCATCTGCCCAGGAGTTAGCAGAGAAGACAGTTTATACCTCTGAGTGTACTGCACTTAAGAAAAGTTCTAATGACTTACAACATACATCTAGAAAAGCACACAAATCTTAAGTATACAGATTGATGGATTGCCTGGCTGGAGCCCACAGACTCACAATATCACTCCTGGGAGAGTCTGATGACTGTATATAGAATCATACCATTGATTTTGTAAGTAGGAACTAAGTGTCGGTAGCCTGGGAGAAAAACCCTGGCTTTGGAATCTAAATCATCTGGGTTCAAATCCTGGTTCTGCCATTTGTCAGTTCCATGACCTTTAGCAAAATACTGCACCTCTCTGAGCTTCAGTTTCCCCATCTGAAAATGTGGGCTTTGGTCCTAACAGCCTGGGCTTACGATGATGATCAAGCCAGGCAGACAGCTGGACCCGAGGAAATGTGGGGCATGCACACGTGGTGAAGCACAGGGCTACTGCATGGGGGGAGGCACTACCTGTGACAGGAGGGTGGGGTTTTTTTGCAAGCAGTGGGGCTGCTTGGACACAGTGCATTCTGTGTACCTGCTCAGGCAGGTGTGAGCTTGCACCCCTTCCCTACACACACACACACACACACACACACACACACACACACACACGCATGCACACACACGCACACACACACACACACACACACACACACACACACGAAGACGGTAAGAACCATTTCAGGAGCTGGGACTTTCTAGCTGCATATGGCTATCTCCAGGTACCAATCTTCTTCCAAATTCGAAACTGAGTTGGATTTCTGTTAGGCCAGTGAGTGCCAAAGCTTGAGCCCGAACCTGGCACTTGCCATCCTAGTGGCCTTCAGGTTGACATGACGTCCAGGGAAGGCTCATTAGTTTGGGCTCTAACAGAAAGGAGACTAGGAGTGTCAGCGGTCCCAGAGGGGTGGCCTGGGGAGATGCCTGTGCCTTACGGCAGCCCTGGCTTGCAGCTTCACAGAAGGGCACTCAAGAGAGAGCTGAGCAGCTGACAGGGGTGTCTCTGGCAGGGAATTTTGGACTCCAGAAGTAGGGGATAGTTGACTTCCCAGGTACAGGAGGGAGAAGGCTGCTGGAGAGGAGCTAGGGCTTAGGGATGCGGGGAGTGGGTAGCAGTCACAGGGCCAAAGGAGGGTCTCATCCCACATGGGGCTAGGCAGGGACAATGGCAGGCTGGGAGCCAGAGGCAGGGTCCTGGTCTCCAGCCCCAGCCTGAGCTCCTGCCACTCACTGAATTCCTGCTCAGTGCCAGGAATATATATATACGCCCCCCCCAAGACAATCTGAACAGTACAAGAGAGTGTCAGATGAGAAAGAAGTCTCCTTACATCCCTCCTCTTGCTCCCAGCCCTGCTTTTTTTTTGGGTGGGGGATTACCATTTTAACCATCTCTGCTTAGTTCTTCTGGCTACCACTACCAGCATTAGAGTACTCAGACATCTTTCTTGATTCCCCAACTTTATGCTGTATCTCTACAATGACAGAAGAGAGATGAGCACAGTTAGACTGCTTCCCACCTCACCTCCTGATCTTTGGTGGCTGTATGGTTGAAAATATCTTTTGTTGTTTTTTTTATCCCTGCACCCCAAAATATTCATTCCTTACACTATACACTTGAACACAGACGCACCATGAGCAGTCTTCCATACTCCTTCGCATGCTACACACTCACTTCCTGAACTTGTCATCATATGTGGGCCTATCTGTACCCCCAGCTCAACTGCGAGTATCCCTGGATGGGCCCCACACCCTCCTCATGGTGCAAAGCCAAGGTGGGAAGGAGCACCTGGGTGCCTGTAGGCAACAAACCCACAGTCCTCTAGATGGCAAAGCTCACAGCCTTTGCAGTGGTCCAGACCAGCCCCCTCTGAAAGAGCCAGATGGCCTTTCCCAGGGTTTGGCTGATGGGTGGAGATTGGGGGGGGGGGCTGGGCCTCCAGGCAGGGGTATTTAGAGCTGTCTCCCTCACTGAGCACAGGCTCTCTTTCTGCCCCTGTAGGAGGTGTTTCGGCAGCACTGGGGACTGCAGTTCCTGGCTCTGGTGGAGGAGGTGCTACCCCGGCACGGTAGCGGCCACCACGGGGACTGGCACATCTCCCTGAGCAAGCCCAGTGAGAAGGAGCAGCACCTTCTAATGACCTTGGTGGGCGAGCAGGGTGAGCGGGGGGGAGGGGCACCCACAAGAGGGGGGTGGCGTTGGTATGTTTGGGGAGAGCGTCCAAGAAGGCAGTGGGAGGCAGGCCAAACCAGCAGAGGTTTCCCAAGGCCACGGGAGCTCTCCTGAAGAGCTGTGAGAAAGTGCAGCCAGGGCTTTTGGATGTGGGGTGGGCTTTTAGGATAGCAGGGTGAGGTGCTGCTTGAGCCTCCTAGTTTAGGATCCAGGAGTACCAACAACAAGCTTGAAGGCAGGAGGAGGAGGAAGGTGGGAACACTGGGAATAGGAGGGGGAAGAGTGTGGTTTCAGTGCAGGTGCCAGACAGTGGCACTGTATACTGTGGCGGGCTGAGAAGGAATGTGTTCAGAATGCAGACTTAAGGAGCTGTGGAAGTGACCGCCTAATATCACACCTGTCACTTAGTAGCCACGCACTGAATCTTCTTAATGAGTCAATCAGTGGGCAGCAAGCAGAGGAGAGAGTGGTTGTGTATATACCAGGGAGCCAGGGAGTGAGGCTCTAGAAACTCAGGCCAGAGGCTGTCCAAGGGGACCAGGAGTCCAAAGGGGGAGCGCCTCAGTGGCCAAGGCTGGACTGATGATGCTGTCTCCCCCCAGGGGTGATGCCCACTCAAGATGTCCTTTCTATGCTGGGTGATATCCGCAGGAGTCTGGTGGAGGTAAGAGGGCAGGGACGAGTTCCCGTCCTGTTCCTTAAAGCTCTGGCAGCCGGGCTACCATCCCTGAGGGCAGGAGGGTGGCCTGCACCATGTGGTGCAAGGAGCAAAACACAAACTCTTACTCTGTAGTTCTTTCTTTCAGGTCTCCGAAGACACAGTCCCCATGGGAGAGACAGAGTATATGAGCACTTAGCTATCAACTGCACTGTGCATGGGACAGCCAGGGACTGCCAGCTGGGAGTTTTCTGAGTAGATAGTGGGAGAAACACTACGAGTATGTCTGGCCAAGGAACTGTTCAGAAGCCTGGTGGGTGGGAGCACGTACTGTGGCTCTAGAACAGGAGTGGGCAAACTTTTTGACTCGAGGGCCACAATGGGTTCTTAAACTGGACCGGAGGGCCGGAACAAAAGCATGGATGGAGTGTTTGTGTGAACTAATATAAATTCAAAGTAAACATCATTACATAAAAGGGTACGGTCTTTTTTTTTTTAGTTTTATTCATTTCAAACGGGCCGGATCCGGCCCGCGGGCCATAGTTTGCCCACGGCTGCTCTAGAACCACAGGAGAAAGCACAAGAGGCCTGGGCATTTCTTCAGAGACCATGAGAGTCTGCAGTGCTTGGCCAGCTGGGGGCCAGCTCGGGGTGAGGGGCGGGGCTCAGGACACAGCAGACAGGCCTGTCTTCTTGAGATTCACCCCTGACCCAGCCTCTGGCCCGTCCTGGAGACTGTGGCTGAGGAGACAGGCTGGCCACCTGTGCATGGTGGAGCAGAGCCATGGCTGATAGGAGGGGCAGGTCCCCATTGTTCCTCCTGTTCCTCATTCCCTTCCCTTCCCAAGGACAGTCACCATCTCTAACAAAACCCCTTCCACTCACTGTGAAATCCAGTCATCTGTCATCAGTCCTCCTTTTTTTTTTTTTTTTAAATATTTTTATTGATTTCAGAGAAGAAGGGAGAGGGAGAGAGAGATAGAAACATCAATGATGAGAGAGAATCACTGATAGGCTGCCTCCTGCACACCCGCTACTGGGGATTGAGCCCGCAACCCAACCTGGGCATGTACCCTTCACTGGAATTGAACCTGGGATCCTTCAGTCCACAGGCTGACACTCTGTCCACTGAGCCAAACCAGCTAGGGCCAGTCTTCCTTCTTACTGAGGGCTGTATAATATTTGACAGCAAAGATGAACTGTGCATGACTGTGGTTCTGCCTCTTCAGTACACTCAGGGCGAAGAGGTGGGTTCTGTGGGGTTTCTGGCTTTTTTTTTGTTTTTATCAGCAAAGCGTATTGAATCCTCACTGAGTGCCGGACGGTGCTCGGTTTCCTCACCACCGCCCCAGGGCTTGTGAGCACAAATAAGGCCCCCTACTGAGTACCCTCGGTGCTCGGTGCTCCATTGAAGGTTAGAGCGGAAGCCCAGGGAAGGCGGTGACTCACCTGAGATTGCACAGCTAGTAGTAGTAGAAGAGCCAGGCTTTGGACTAGGCCCGAATGACTCAAGACGCTGGTCTTCCACCACAATGCAGTGTCTATACTAACGGCTGTTCTGGTTGTGAAAGTCTTGGTTTGTGAACCCCGAGAACAGGCTGCCCTTGATCTTTTTTATAGACTCTCCTGACTCTTCTCCCAGTCCCTGGGTGTTCTGGCTTTACTGGACACTTCATGCTGACTGACATGGCCAAAGGCATGCCGGGCACTTGGAAGTATATTAGTGGGCAAATTTAGCAAGTTCTAGCAAGAAATATGGACCCTTAATAACTTCAGTCAATAGAGGAAGGTAGTGGAAATATATAGGCGATTCACAGAAACCAAAGGGGAGCTGGATAACTGGCATTTGAAAGGGGAGTGCAAGGCAAAAAGGGGGCTCCCAGCTCTGCATCGGGAGCCAGGAAAGAGCACCTGTCTTTTGAGGTGCTCACCTTTGCTCCCTTTCTGCCTAGATGCTGATTTGTGGAGAGAACATCTGCTGGGCCAGGTCAGGGCACAGCAGCCTCTGGACCAGAGAAAGCAGGCCCACCTAAGACAACCTGCAGTGTGGGAGTGGGGTTGGGCAGCTAAATACCATTGGTGACCACTCCAGTGGGAAAGGGGAGCTGGGAGGCTGGGGTGGCCCCTGTGGGCTGTCCCCAGTATCCCCTGCACTGTCTCTGGCCCATAATGACCAGGATAATACCAGAATACCCAGGGGCCTAATTCAGTGGTGTCGTGTGGTGGAGGATGTGTGGCAAGGGGATCACAGCTGCCCTTGTCGGTTTTCTTCCTTTTTAAACTGGTGGGACAGGTGTGGAGACTCAGTCTAGTTTGGACCATGACTGGCAGCATGAGCGTGGGCAGCCTCAGTCAGGGGCGGGGGGTGGGGGATAGGGTCACAGCCTGATGGATTTTGAGCCAGACTTCTTTCCCACAGGGTCAGGGTCAGGCAGTACCATGCTGGGGATGTTGGGGGGGGGGGCATGCAATAGAAATGTAGGGTAGAGAGGCTTGGAGCTGCCCCCAGGTGAACAGGGTGGACATAGGGCAGAGAGTCCCTCATGAACACTGATCCAGGCCCCTCAGGGAGCTTCAGGAGCCAGGAGTGTGCCAGCTCCTTCTCAAAGCCTGTCCCTGTTCCTAAGCCCCAGCCCTACGGGGGTGGGAGCCATGGCACCCAGGGCCTCAACTGAGGAGCCTGGCCCCTCCCACCCCCAGATTGGCATCCAGAACTACTCCACAACCAGCAGCTGCCAGGCCCGGGCCAGCCAGGTGCGCAGTGACTACGGGACGCTCTTTGTGGTGCTGGTGGTCATCGGTGCCATCTGCGTGATCATCATTGTGCTGGGCCTGCTCTACAATTGCTGGCAGCGCCGGCTGCCCAAGCTCAAACATGTGGTGAGTGTGGGGGCAGGTGGGGCAGAGGTCGTGGGCTGGGGGCAGTGCTGGTGGAGATGGGAGTGCCCCGCAGGCTGTCATCTGCAGACTCTGTCATCTCAGGTGGGCTGGTAGTCATGGCCTGGGTTGGGGTACTGCAGGTGAGGCCACTTGTCCAGAGCCTGCATCTCAGTGGACCTTTAGTGCAGGGCACCAGCCCCACCCGCAGGAGCCCTCCATGGCACCAGCCCCTCCTGGGCAGAGTGGCCCTGCAGGCCTGAGCTCATTTGGATGTCTCCCTAGAAGCCCTGGGTCAGCAGAGCACAGGGGTTCAGGAAAGACTCCTCACAAAGGAGAGGGCAGGGCAAGACGCCCTTTCCCAGGAGTCCCTTGGAGTCTATCAGGAGGCTGTTGGGAGGGATCAGCTGGTGTTAGTCAAAGGATCAGTAGAATTATTTTAAGAAAGGATTTGGGCTGTGGGAACAGAGCAGAAGAGAGCAGGAGGGCAGTGGCATCTGTGGGAGGTCCCTGGGGTTCCCTGTGTAGGGTCTTACAGACTAGGGAAGGAGCAATGAAGTGACTTGTTCAAGGTCACAGGTCAGGTCAACGGGGCACGTTGTGCAGCTGGTGGGTTGGGCTGGGGCCCGGGCCCAGGCCGAGGCCCTCGCCCAGCAGCC